TCTTGCAGGTGACATTCCTTGGAAAAACCTTTTTCCCCTTTTCCACCACAGCTCTGTTAAAAGCCAGGTAAAGGAATTTCAGCTCCCGGAATTTCTCCGCGTACTTGACCAAAGTCGAGGTTTTCCCTGTGCCTGGAGAGGAAAATCAGGAATATCCAGAGTCAGGAAGGAATAATTCCAGATTTTTATTTTTATTTTTATATTTATACCTGCCTGTCCCGCTGTTCCAACTCTAAAATTCCTCTTCACTCCTGATTTCAGAGTTATTTACGTTGGAAAAGCTCTTTAAGGTCAAGCCCAAGCATTCCCAGCACTTCCAAGGCCACCCACATCCCCATCCAGAGGATTTTATGGAATAGGGATTCCATCCCTGCCTGGGGCATGGAGGAATTTTCCCAAAATCCATCCTAAAGCTTCCCTGGACCAGCTTTATGAAGTGCCCACTCCAGCCTGGATCCCTTTTCCATGGGGTCAGTTCTTCAGGAATGGATCCCATTTTCCATGGGGTTGGTCCTTCAGGAATGGGCTCTTCCAACATGAATCCTGTTTTTCCACAGGGTCAGTTCTTCAGGAATGGATCCCTTTTCCATGGGCTCAGTTCTTCAGGAACTGCTCCAGCCTAGATCCCTTTTCCATGGGGTCATTTCTTCAGGAATGGATCCCATTTTCCTTGGGGTCAATTCTTCAGGAATGGATCCCATTTTCCATGGGGTCAGTTCTTCAGGAACTGCTCCTTTTTCCATGGGGTTGGTCCTTCAGGATTGGGCTTTTCCAACATGAATCCCTTTCTTCCGTGGGCTCAGTTCTTCAGGAATGGCTCCACCTTCCATGGGGTCGGTCCTTCAGGATTGGGCTCTTCCAGCCTGGATCCATTTTCCACGGGCTCAGCCTTTCAGGACCTGCTCCTCCTCCGGGGATTCCAGGGAAATCTCCACTCCAGCACCTGGAATCTCCCGTTCCTCCTTTCCCAGCCTTGGGATCTGCAGGGCTGTCCCACATTTCCCACTCCTCTCTCCCTGTTTTTATCCTGCCTCCATTTCCAGCAGATTTCCCTTCAGTTTCTTCTCCCAGAGGCACAAACGGGTCCCTTTGGAATCTGACAATCCCTTGGACAGAGGGATCAGGAAGGGAAGGAGCAGATTGGGAAATTTACCAGTAGTTTTTATGTATTTATATG